ATGCAAAGACTTTACCCTAAATTGAGGGATCTCAATGTTATCAAACTTAGGGCCAGAAAGAGAAGTGGCACAGAAGCATATCTTTACTTTCTTTATCCTTGGCTACTCGTTAATAGTCAGGACAAACAACGTATCCTTCACTTATGAGATATTACCACATAACTAGACTACACTGCTAGAATGGAATAGCTACATACTAGTAAGTGAATGAGCAAGTTTCAAAATTCAAACAGCAGCCTAGATTAAACCAACATATTTCAAAATTGTGGCACATGATGCCAAGAAACTCATTGGCTTAAAAACAGCATCATTTATTCTCAATAAGTGATCTGACTAGGTTCAGATGCTCTAGGCTGGGCTGAGTTTGGTGGCTCTGCTTCTCACTGTAGTTCTGTGTTGCTTGGTAGGACCTTGCTCCAGGTATCTATCATCATCCTTCAACCAAAAGATATTCTTTTCATGGAGACAGTAGAAGCACAAGAGGAAGCAGAAACACACAAGGTCTTTTAAGGCCCAAATTCAGGGCTGGCACACTGTCAATTCCTACCCACATGCAATTGGCCAAAGCACATTCAGAGGTGAAATGTACTTTACCCATCATGAAGTCATGACAAAGATGTGGGTACAAGTTCAGGTTTCCCCCTGAAGTAGAGCATTCCTGAAACCTTTTTAGTAAGCCAAAATGGAGTAAAACAAGGAGTATCCCTCCCTGACCTTTCTGAAAGTTCACTTTACATCACTTTACTTTTACAAAAGACCTACATTATTAGCACTGTAGCAGTTTTTACATAAAAGGGAAAATTCTCTTCATACTTCTTTTGGTTAGCAAAAAAAACCTTCCAGTTATAAAATAATCAAGTCCTGGGGATGTAATGTACAGCATGGCAGCTATAGCTATTAATACTGTATTATATATTTGAAAGTTGCTAAGAGAATAGATTTTTAAAGTTTTCATCAAGAAAAAAGTTTCAATTCACTTTTTCAGAGAAAATAAATGAGGTCCTCAAATTACGTAGTTTCTCCCCTCAGTCTCTCCCCATGTAATATCCTACATTATTAAAAAACAAAAAATCTTAGTCCTAGCCAGTTTGGCTCAGTGGTTAGAGCATCAGCCCGCAGACTGAAGGGTACTGGGTTCAATTCCATCCAAGGGCACGTACCTTGGTTGCAGGCTCAATCCCAGGCCCAGTCAGGGCCATAACTTTAGCTATAAAAATTATTCTCTTAACGTGTGTCAGGGCACAAGCGGGAGGTAACAAATTCATGTGAGACATATCGATGTTTCTCTCTCTCCCTTCCACTCTCTGAAAAGCAATGGAAAAAAATATCCTAGGTGAGGATTAAAAATAAATAAAAACACAAAATTCTACCCACTGCTCTAATAATCTACTAGTAAATGGTAGGAAATTAAAAGCCAAAAAAGAGGAAAACAGCCATACTTGAGGCCAGGGAAGGTAATTCAGAAGGATATTTTATATAAAGTTGGAAATAAAATTTTATATACAAAACTTGGAATAAAATGATTTTATGATAAACAATCACATTCTTCATTCCTTTCAATGATGTCCTTGAGTCTATGCCTAACATCTCAGGTATCCTACTTTTACCTGATAGCTATTCTCCCAGCCACTTTATAAAGACATTTGTTTAACAAATACCTTACGTTTTTTCTGAAATTGAATGCATTTAGAACACATGTTGTAACTGTTCTTGCTCTACTTTTAAGATATAAAGCACCAGTAAAAAGCACACTAAGCAGATTATTTTTTAAAGTATAAAGAACTAGCCACTGAAAATTGCAAAACACTGAGAGAAAATTTTAAAGATCTAATAAACGGAGAGATAATCATGCATCAGAAGACTCAATACTGTTAAGATATCAATTCTCCCCAAGTTGTTTCTTTAGATTTAACATAATCCCAATCAAAATCCCAGCAGGCTTTTTTGTAGAAATTGACAAAAAACTTATTTGGAAATGTAAAATAATTTAAAAGTTTTGGAAAACAAGAGCAAAGTTTGAGGTCTATACTAAATGATTTCAAGATTTACTGTAACAGCTACAGTAATTATTACAAGGTGATACAACATAATCAAACAAAACAGAGTTCAAAAATAAATAAATCTACTCATACATGCTCAGTTGATCTGTTAGGAAGGACCCAAGGTAATTCACTAGGGAAATGATACTCCTTTCAAGAAATGGAACCAAAACAAGGGAATATCCATATGCAAAAATAAAGACCCTCCACACTTGATACCATATACAAAAATTAACTCAAAATGGACAAAGATCTAAATATAAAAACTGAAACTATAAATCTTCTAGAAGAAAACACAGCAGTATTTGTGACGTTGAATTAGGCAAAGATTTCTTACATAGAACAAGAAAGCATAAACCACAGAACAATAAAACATATAAATTGGACTACGTCAAAAATCTGAAGTGAGAAGGCAAATAACAGAGAAAATTAAAAGACTCTTATAATGTAATAATAAAAAGATAAACAACTTAATTTGAAAATAGGCAAAATATTTGACACTTCACTAAAGAAGCTATACCGACTGCAAATAAGCACATGAAAATATATTAAATATCATTAGCCACTAAGAAATGCAAATTGAAACTCTGAGGTACAACTACACACCTATGAGAACAGCTAAATGAAGACTGACAATACAACATGTTGGTGAGGATGTGGAGAAACTGAAATCCTAATACATAACTTTGGGAGAGATTTCAGTAGTTTCTTATAAGATCAAGCATACATTTATCATGCTGCCCAAGAAAAACGAAAACATTATGTCCACACAAAGACTTGTAATACAATGTTTGTAACAACTTTATTCATAAGTAGGCAAGTGCTGGAAACAACCCAAAGTTGATAATCTAGTGAATGAATAAACAATCTGTGATATTCTATACAAAGGAATATTACTCAGTGATAAAAACAGTCCAGCTACTAATACATACAATGTGGACAAATCTCAAAGCATTATGATAAGTGCAAGAAACCAGACACAAACACTGCATGCTGTATATAATTCCATTTACATGAAATTCTAGAAAAGCAAAACTAGAAATCAGTGATTGTCAGGGAGTTTGGGAGGAGGAGGTTGACTGCAGAAGGGCATGAAAAAACTTTTTTAAGTTGATGGAATGTTCTAGATCATGGCTGTGATGGTGATTACATGACTGTATACATTTGTTAAAACGCATCAAATTGTACACCTAAAATTGGTGAGTTTTAGTGTATGGAAGCTATAGCCTAATAAAACTGATTACAAAAAATAATGCTGATTCACACTTTATTATATCTCAATTACAAAAAAAGAACTTTAAATCAAGCATTCTTAAGTTTTAAATTTGAGCATTTACTACACAATACACAGATTAAAATATGAGGCAAGTTATCATAGGAAATATACAACTGACATTGTTTTCATCACTAATTCATCTTAAAATTCAATTAGATAAAACCTGAGATTTGCCAGAGCCTATCCAAATCTGTGCCAGAAAGAAGCAAATTACAAAGTACTACTCATTTAGATTAGCCATAACAACTTCAGCTATAAAAAGTATTCTCTTAACGTTTCATAATGCATTACAATAATGAGTTTTTAATTAGTTAAAAACATTTTTTTTTTTTAATTATGAGTTTCTAAAACACTTTTGGTAATAAAATTTTTTGTAATACAAAAAAGTTTTCAGGAACAAAGATTTTGGTAAATTACACACAGATACTGAAGATGTAAGGCGAGAATCAAAATTCTGGTGTGCATCCTGCTTTCAGATGCTTTGACAATACTATTGCACTGCTAGTGTCAAGTACAGTAGTGCAATAAAGTCAGAGCATTTGTTAGCAGTAATAGGTAGAAAAGGAACACAAGAGCATCTTGCAACAGTTGAAGCTTCAGTGAGAAAAGAATTTAAAGAATTTAACTGATTATGAAAGGGGATTTTAAAATTTCAGTTAACCCCTAAAACATCATAAACATAGGACAAAATCATCTCCCTTTCAAACTTAAAATCAAAGAGAAAATAATAATGGGATAATGGGGAGTGGGGGCAGTATCCAAGATTTAAAGATTTAAGTATCAGGTTTCCTGGAATTCAAGCCAATTAGCATCCTAACCTTCTAAGTGGTAAGACACCATTCAAAAGTCAGATGTAGGCCCAGAAATAGAAATAGTATTATAGTATCACATTGTACTACCTTTTGCGCACAATCAGTACCACAAAAGAAGGACACTGGACAAATACCCCTCATTAAGTGAAGGAAAAGAAGTTAGAGAACAAAGACACCCTACAATAAACTTATTCCCCCATTAATAATGTTGATTGATGGAAAAATACTTTCCATTATTTTCACTAACCTTCGCTTAAATGGTCCAGTTCAACTACTTAGTTGGATTGGCCTATGAAGAAATGAACTAAAATTCAGGACAGCTGGAACATGAATGTCTTGACCTCAAATCCTAGGCCACATAAATGAGATATTAGATATTTCAGCTAAAAATCAGGGGATTGTACAGAAAATGATTTACCTTTAGAATCTTAGAAACCAAACTGGTTCACAGATGCATGGAATTCAAGACCTGCTTTCCTGTCTTCCTCTTTTAAAAAGATTTTTTAAAAACTACCCCATCATTCAAACATCTAAAAGTCTGAGTCTGGCTACCTCATAATTTTCTAAAATCTACTTTTCAAGATGTACACGTAATCATTTCCCCCTTAAAATAAAATATGTTCAATCTAAACAAAAGTCCTGTGAGAATATTGACTCAATATATTGCCAAGTCTAGAAAAGGCTTAATTGGTACCTCAACTAAACAGCCAATTTGAGGGGAGAAAAACTGTTAAAAGCAAAATTAGTATCATTTAGCATATTACAATTAGGCAGAAGTGTGGATATGGAGGGAGGAATTCAGAATGGGGGAGAAGAGCAAGGTAATGTCAACATATATGCCTGTTGATAGAATCAAACTACTACAATTCTTTAACATGTTTTTGTGGTTTTTTGTTTTTCTTTAAGACAGTTAATGAGAAAAATAACAATATTTTAAACTAAAAGTTCATTATTTGGGTTTATAAAGCTGTAGAAAATCCTCCTTTGCCATTTCTCTCCCTACCTATCTCCAACCCCTGCCCCACAAGAAAATTAACACTCAAAACGCTAGAAGTAACAGAAAATTCAAATCGAATTTGTATATGAGGCACTACAATTCATTAATACATCAGAAGAAAATAATAAGTTATATCAAGGTCTCACATTTTCTGGGGGAGGAAATAGGGGCGAGAATGGTATTCAGTTTCTTCCAGGATCATTACACGTGCAGATGTTAAAGTGACCCCGAGACTCGGCTTGCAGAGTGCAACACAGGCACAAATGATACCTAAGAAGTAATACCAGGGAAAGGCAAGGGGAAGAGGGGAGGATTGTGCAGGTGGAGAAGAAAGAAGATTTTGGCCTCGTTACTTATTTTTCTTTTAACGAAAAACCGACGGGAGCTCAAATGATGGGTGCGTCCTCCAAATGACACGTTTTAAAGGAAGACAGCCCAATAAAAAAACAACAACTGGTAATGCAGAGGAGAAAGTAGGACTGAAGATAAAATGAGAGAACTAAAAAGAGAAGAAAAAAGCGCGGGCGGTCAAGCTGGTAGTCTAGGGATGGGAGGGAGGGAATAAAGAGGACAAGTGAGAGAAGGATCCATAGGAGAAAACTAGGACAGCTCTCCAGCTCGGCGCCCGCGTGCAGGCCAAGCAGCAGCCGGAGGCTTTTCCAAGCATTCGCCCCCGCCCCCTACTTTCACAAATGAATGAAACTAGGCAACTCGGGAGCAGGGCGCCTTCCTCGTCGCAATCCCGCCCGCGCTCCGGGAAAGGAGCTCACGGCTCAGGTGCCCATCGCTCTCTCCCCCAAGCAAGCACTGCCGGACCCCTTGGGGCCAAACAAAAACTGGTCTAGGGGTTTCTCGGCAGCTAGGAAGTTGAGCGCGCAAGTCCAGCATCCTCTCACAGACTTTCCCGGCCCGCCTGGGAGGATGCGAGCAGTTAGGACCCGAAAGGATTTCTCTCCGCCCCACACGGTTGATCCCCACCCAACCCCACCCTTCATCCCCTTTTTCT